GATTCACGTGGTAGAAGTCAAAATGGCTGCCACTTTCTTTAATCGACTTGCAGGGCTTGGTTTAGGAGTTGCAGTAGCCGGTGGAGTGGTAAATACTGCTTTATTTAACGGTAAGTATTGCTCTTTCTATTTGGTTGTGGTGCTGTGGCATATTTTTAAGCGAATCGTATCTTGTTCATGTTAATCTTTATGCTTCTGACGTAACTCTTGCATCAACATGGTACAGGCATGGTATAACGTATATAGTTTAGGATTGAGAGTACTTTCCTTTTTCCGTATAATTATCTTATTCTGTTTTAATGTGTTTGGGGTTTATTTAGATTTGCATGTTATACGTGCAATACTACGAATGAATTTTCGGAACAATTGCTCATGCATGCATTCTTTTCTATAAAATCCCATAAAATGTATGAATTTGTACATGTTGGTACAMGAAAAATAGTTGAAGGGCATGCAGAGGCTCCAAATGAGCACCAAAACAAAATACTTATGTTGTTATTAACATATATACTACAAAGTATTGCAATAAATTGTTATTGGTCTGTCATGTAGATTATAGTTTCTGGAAATTTATGCTATTTTATTTGCCTTTGCAGTCGAYGGTGGCCATCGTGCAGTTATCTTTGACAGATTCCAAGGAGTTAAACCAGATGTTGTTGGTGAAGGTACACACTTTTTAATTCCATGGGTGCAACGACCTATTATTTTCGATATCCGAACTAGACCAAGAAATGTACCAGTCACAACAGGAAGTAAAGGTAAAATCAACAGTAATCRATGTAGAAGCTTAGTTTTCATTCATTTCTTTATTAGGTTCTATATGATATTATCATTTTTTATGCCTTTAGATTTACAGACTGTAAACATCACCCTCAGGATTCTGTTCCGACCAAAATCTCAAGCTCTACCCAAAATATACATGAATCTTGGCGAGGATTATGATGAAAGAGTTCTTCCATCCATTACYACTGAAGTGCTTAAAGCTGTTGTTGTGAGTCACATATTTTGTTGTAATGATGAATATATTATTATGAATATTTCTCAAATATGAAAAGGATGCAGAAAGGAACGTTTGCAAGTGGGCAGAGTCTCAGAAATCTGACTCATAATAGTCATTAAGTGACAAGTGTCATGCTTGGCAATGGTTCTTAAACTTGAATTTTATTCAAAACTTAAAGGTTTTTTTTCTGTGATTTTAGGCTCAGTTTGATGCCGGGGAACTTATTACGCAAAGAGAACTGGTAAGTATTCATTATCAAAGAGTTGAATGGAAAACTGGCAACAAAATATGACTTCTGTTGCTACATGTATACTATCTCATTTTTATTCTTAGGTTTCACAAAAAGTCCAAGAAGATCTGTTAGAGCGTGCTGCAAGTTTTGGGTTGATGCTCGATGACATTTCTTTGGTAAGACAATTTATCATTTGTAAGAAACTGAAATTAAAAACTATTTTTTAAAGATTAAAATTTTGCCTTTAAACAGACCCATTTGACATTTGGTAGAGAATTTACAGAAGCTGTTGAACTTAAGCAAGTTGGTAAGTCCATTCTGTTTACTCTGATATTTTTTTGGGGTGATTGCTTTCCACCCTACCTCAGTACATGTATGTCATAGATTAAAGCATGGCAATCAGTGAGCATGCGCTGATTATCTTGCTTCATTATGCAAAGTCATRGCTACATTTGAATTTGAMATAGGAAACTRCAAAGARGACATTGAACTTGCAACAATAGACAGGATTATAGTTTATGTATTATTTTTCCCTAGTTTGAATAAAGGAGACTGTTACCACATTTTCAGTTCGAAAATGACACAACATTATGCATGTTTTGAAGAAGGTGAAATAAAGTTTATACTCCTATTAATGAAGTGTTTTTATATTACAGCTCAGCAAGATGCTGAAAGGGCGAGGTTTCTTGTAGAAAGAGTAAGTCTATATCATAAACTTTTCATAATCGAATCCTGAAGTAAAGATGTGATTCAGTCGTAAGAGCGATATTATTTCACCTATAAATGGCACTAGGATACTAAAATTTGATAAACAGCATTTTGCTGTACCATTCTCTTGCATTTGGATAAATTATATAAAGTAGTATGAAGAAGGTTGGACTTGAACAAAATGACAATTAAAGTGAATGTATCATAATATTGAAGTGTTCATACTATGAACAATTCTCCATTGTGAAGTGTCAATATGATCCAGTTGATTATAAATTTTCAGTAATTATTAATTATCTTTTCTCTTGAATTTCAGGCTGAGCAGCTAAAGCAAGCAGCAATCATAACAGCAGAGGGTGATGCACGTGGTGCTCAGATGCTTGCAAACTCTTTTAAAGAAGCCGGCGAGGGTCTTGTGGAACTCCGAAAGATCGAAGCAGCAGAAGAAATTGCAGACAGGATGTCCAAATCAAGAAATGTTGCTTATCTGCCAGGAGGGCAGAAAATGCTTTTAAATCTTCCTGTTTCAAGATGATGCTAAAATACACTTTTTTGATCGATTTGATTGAACACCAATGTCTACTGATATCCCTGATTGAAGGTGATAATGATCTGTATGTTCTGGTTTGTATTTCTAAATTGTGTTTCTGAGTAGTTAACAGTCATGGATAGCAACTATAATCAGTGCAAAGTAAAGAAAAATAAAGCCGATTTTCATGATTTGATTATATTTATTGTTGAAAATCGTGATRCATTGCAATATGTTTTATTCAAAGCTCACAACGAGCAAAATAATCCGCATGACACAAATTTAATTTTCCTATTGAAATGATTGTGTGCTTGTCGAGGTTGCCAAGCGCATGAATTGTTGACTCTRCCAGTCAACTTGAAGTTCCCACATCTCTGATGCCGATATAACTTTTTTTCTTTTCTCCGATTCCATTATGTGTCTGGCAGGAACTCGGTTCCCCTTTCATTCTTTCTTATCCTAATATTTCAAAAGACAATTACTTGTGTCAAATTAATGATTTCGAAAAGCAGTATTATTAAGTTCAATGAGCCAATCGGAGGTGCGCATCCAGCAAGAACAAGATGATGAAAATCGGTGTAGTAACTGCCACGACCTGGTTCCTGAATGCCGCTTGAAATGTTCTATTTATAGAACCTAAAATCCAAGTGCGAAATCTAGGTGGTGGGTGTGGTTAAAGTGTGGTTGCTATTTATAAAACCTGACGTCATCATTAACGTTAGGTGATTGTTTGAAACTATGGTTATTGCTTCTCTCCTCATATCGCCTTATAAGGAGAGGGTTTGATGTAATGGGTGTGGCATAGTGAGTGGTYGCTATGGCACTTGACGTCATCATTTACGTTAGGCCGCACTAAGGGTGCGTCGACGTAATTCCTTATTTGGAGCCAGTACTGAAACCATGGGAACATGAAATTCTTTTTTAGCAACGATTTGTGCGGGTGTCTTCATTTAGTGGTTGCTATGGTAGTTAACGTCATTATCTACGTCAGAGAGCTGCCAGTGGACGATATCAATGTCGCTATTAAAAATTCAGTCCTGTATATATCCGAGAAAGGTAATATACGTACTGACATTTAGCTAGTTCCATTCGTTATTCCCACTTAGTAAACTGCAGGCAGAGCATAACGATATAGATCCGAATATGGAGGCATCAGCTCTCCTTCCATGTATTGCTGGATATTCAAGCATTATTCAAGGCTTTGTCAAGAAATGTCAGCAAACCCACCAAAAAAGGTAGACGTTTGAAGTGTTCACTGTAATCCTCGCAAGACCGAACATCAGAAAGCAAATATGTTGTTCTTATCTCATCGGTTGAGGTATGAAAGATTGATTGACCAGACAAACAAAAGTGAAATCGGTTCAACATTAAGTGAAGTCAAACACGAAGAAAAATCGCAACCATTCCTTGACGAGGAGAGTTCCTCTGCTAGGATCGATGAGTGTGCTAAAGGAGATAATGGCAAACAGGGTGGTGACAGTGGGATAAGCGAGATATGTGAGGTAAGAGCTGCATTGCACATCACTTCATTGGAKTACAAAGATTCCGCAAACTCTGTTCAAATTTTATGGGCTCCTCGAATGAAAAGGAGATTTTTGGGATGCCAAAATAAAGCCGACATCATTGGGAGCAATGAACTTACCAGAGAAGAAAAAGGTCCTTTASCAGAAGACAGGGATGAGATTTCAGTACAGAACAATGAAGGCACAAAGCAAGTGAAAGCTTCAGGAGTACTTGGTAGAATGAAAAAACGATTCTTTCGTCGCAAAAAAAGCAACTGTAATTTGCGATTAGGTAGAAAATCAAACGTTAATAGAAATTCATAGAATAGAGCTCGTTACGCTTCCTAAAGTAAATGGAAAAAAAGGTGAAACTTTTGGCGGAATTGCTTCGGTATGCATAAGTAGACTGGTGCACTACTCGTCCAATGAATCCTTAGCAAGATTAATATCATTACGGGACGGGCGTGTTCAAGGGGGTTCCGCAACATCCATTCCTTAAGCAGTCAATGCCTGCAAAAACAAAGTCTTCTACAGTAAAAAGTTTGTATGCTCTAAATAATATGAATCTAAAGTGAAAAGTTCTAGACCTGCTGCAGGTTTGCATATAAGCAGAAATTCTTAGTSAAAACTATTCTTGACGGTTGCAATAAAAAAAAGTGTATAATAGAKTAGAATATAATCTACAAAAATAAATAACCGTATGTATATAAGAATAGAAAAAAAGAAAATGAGAAGCCCATCAGGAGCCCATTACTAATAATAATGGATTTATATATTTATAATTTGAATATGCAGTATTTCGTAACAATAAAGGAGA